ATAAGGCCGGATTTAATAATTAAATTTAATTATTAATTATTTAATAAACTTCGAAAATTTATATCTTCTTCATACGAACTCCGTTTTCGACGTTTTTTATATCCACGCGAAGGCGAGACTACGTTCTACAACTTTCGTTTAGACTGCGTCGGCTAATTTTGACTTTATTTTTATTATTTATTTTTAATAGGCCAGGACAGAAAATTTCGTTATAAATTCATAACTTCTTCATTTGACGTCCATTCTTGCCTAACTTTTTATCGCTTTGATACTAACAAAGAGATCTTCGATTCTCGTTTAGATCACTAAGGCTAAATATCGTTCTAACGTAAATTTCACTTTTTACGTCATTTAGCGGTTCGGTTTTGTCGCGAAACTTCGACAGGTCATAACTTCTTCGTTATAACTCGGATTTCGGCATTCTTTATATCTTCGGAAACCTTGTTTCAACTACTACAACATTATCTAAAAATATCAAGTTTATTTTATACTTAAATTTTGACGCTTATTTTTATTCTTAATTAATCAAACCACATAATTAAGCAATTAAGCACAAAACACATAATACTCAAATAATACACTTCTATTATTTCAAAAAGGGTTACAAAGGTTAACCTAGACTATTACATTGCTAAAAATGGCAAGCCCAGAAACACAGGCATTACACAAACGGGCAGAGCGAGCGGACGATTCAGACGCTCGAGGACATGTTGCGTGCATGTGTCATGGACTTCGGGGGAAGTTGGGACACCTGCATACCATTAGCCGAGTTCTCTTACAACAACATCCATCATTCTAGCATTGGTATGCCTCCATTCGAGCTCCCGTATGGGATGAGGTGTCGGACTCCTATTTGTTGGGGAGAAGTAGGGCAGAGGGTGATGGGCAGCACGGAGATAATGTTGAAGACGATTGAGTATATTCAACAGGTTAGGTGGAGGTTACTAATGGTCTAGAGTCGCCAGAAGGGTTATGCGGATAGGCGACGATCCGAGCTAGAGTTTCAGGTCGAAGATTTTATCTCCTGAAGGTATCCCTATGGAAAGGGCTAATCCGGTTCAGGAAGCGGGGCAAGCTGGGGCCCTGATACATCGGTACTTTTAGAGTGACCGCCATGGTGGGTATGGTAGAGTACCGGTTGGAGCTACCTGCAGAGTTGAGTCGGATTCATAACACCTTCCACGTGTCCCAGCTAAGGAAGTGTGTAGCTGATGAGATGACAGTAGTACCTCTAGAGGACATTCAGGTGGATGCGAGCTTGAATTACATTGAGAGGTCGATCGTGATTTTAGATCGAAAGGTGAAGGTTCTGAGGCACAAAGAAGTGCCCCTGGTTCAGGTCCAGTGGCAACATCGGATGGGATCCGATTTGACTTAGGAGCCGGAATCAGAGATGCGGGAGTAGCATCCTGAGTTATTTGCGGGGCATGACTTTGAGGGTGAAGTATGATTCTAGTGGGGGATCATTGTAACATCCGGATTTCCAGGTATAATATTTTAATTATTTAATTTGAGATTTGTGGAGTGACTCGACGAGTTGGTGCCTCAAATCGTCGAGTAAAGTCGCGATTGGTGATGTGGATTAATAAATGGTCTCGACGAGTTTGTGAGCCGACTCGTCGAGTCATCGTTGTATAGGGAAACCCTAAATTCTCGGGCATGTGGCCTATTTAAATGCACTTATATCCTCCATTTCATCTCACCAGTATCCTTGCACACCTGAAAGAGAGACCTTAACGTCCCTAGTGAGCTTGAGTGGTGGATAACCAACCTTGTGTTCATTTTGGCTCATCTTTTTGAAGAGAAAGGAAGATTCTTTAGAGATCATCAAGGGAGGGCAAGTAGATCTGTTTCCTCTTCATCTCAAGCTTCAGATCTAGGTAAAAAGCTTATGACTTTCCATGTAGAATGAATAGATCCCATGATTTTGAGACTTAGGACTTGTAACATCCTCTTAATGCAGTTTTGGGTGCAGCAAACCCCTTGATGAGTCTATACTGCAGATCTGGACCTTGTAAGGTCTAGAGAGCCCAAAAGTCTGGAGCTTTAGTTGAGCAAACAAGGAGTTTTGTAGTTACGAAGCATTAATGGAGTTTTGATGGCATATAGAGCAATATATGCCATGCATGGTCTTAAAGATCAAACCTTTACATGATTTATGGGTATTAGCAGATTAGATCCAGAGGTTGGAGTTGCAGATCTGACATCAGGCGTCCAAATGAGACATCCAGACGAGTCAACTCGCCGAGTCTATGAGATGACCTGACTGGTCGGATCGGGTTGCCTCAACGTTTCTTGAACCAATGATAACCCATCGAGTTGGGGGTTAACTCGACGAGTTGAGTGAAACCCTAGGAAGAGCTCCGAGGATACAAGTGGACTCGACGAGTCACAAGAGTGCACTCGGTGAGTCGGGTCAACTTTGACTGTTGACTCATATTGAATTCAGTTGATTTGAGAGTGGGTCAATTAGGAACATTTGAGATCATGGAGGGGTAAAATGGTCTTTTACCCACCAAGAGATTAGAAAGAGAAAAAGAGGACTTTAGATTTAAATGAGTAAAAGAGGGAAATTGATTGAAATGCTTGTATAATGTGTTAGGCGGAGGCTGGTTCAGATTTCCGAGTGAGTATCTATTTCCAACTAGCTGCGAGGTGAGTTTTCTCACTATACATACCTAGAGTGGTAATAGAGTTGTGTGACCAGAGTATCTTGTATGTTGATTGTGTTAAATTGCATTGTTTCTATGTGATTTATGCTATGTTCAGAGTTTATAGAGTTAGGGTCAGAAGGTCCATAGAGTTACGACCGGTGGGTCCACCAGAGTTGTGGGACTGGAGGATACCACTAAGACACATTGACAGGAGGATCTTTCAGAGCTATAGTCTCGAGTGGCTAATATATTATTTGTGGTATTTTGGGGAATTCTCTAAGAATTCGTGCTTACCGTGTTATGTGATTATGTGTTTTAGGTAATTTCGAGGATTGCGGGAAGGTTTCGGCTTGATTGTACACACACATTTGAGATGGAGACATGGAGTTATATTTGTTTTTGGATCCTGGTTTTATGATAAACAATACTTGAAACATGTTTGATATTGAATTTTGAGGTTTTGGTGAAATGTGGCATGCGATTTTGTTGGAATAATGTCTAAGGCTGCAACTATATTTGGTAAATACTTGACTTGATTGAGCATGGTCCTTTTGGGTTGCCTTCACCATAGCAACTTGATAGGACGATGTATAATGAGAGTTGAAATATTATATGGAATAATAATTTAATTTGATTAATATAAGTCATAAATTAATTAGGAATTAATTTGGTGACTTAAAGAGATTAATTAAATAGAAGGGATTAATCTGTCAAATGTGTGATAGTTATACTTTATGCTATAATTCCTTATGGATAATATGGTGGACGATTTTATGGCTTAGGATATACCTAAAATCGTCCAAGGGTTATCATGAAGGGATTAGGATTGCTTAGGGCTTAAGTTATCCAATTAGGGTTTAAAGGTAAAACCCTAGGAGTCTTACAAGTATAAATAGACCCTTGGGGTCATGGAAATCGGTACTCTTGTTTCTAGAGAAACCCTGGCCGATTTCAAAGTCATTCCCCACTCTCTCAAATCATCCTCTTGCTAGTTGGTGTTTGTAAGCCATTAGAGGAGTGACAATTGTGTCTCTAAAGCTCCAAGAACAAGAAGATCAAACAAGTGATTCAAGGTAAACTTATAACTCTGATCTCTCTTTGTTATTATGCTAGAATAACTATTATAAGTCTTGGATTCACGCATGTTCAATTAGAGAAACCTAGATCCAAGCATTAGGGTTTGTATGTGCACATAGGAATGTTCATATGGTTAAAACCCATCAGATTTATTGTGATTGAAAAATGAAAAATTGGTTTAAAATTTTACGTCGTTACAAGATAGCCCATCAAGAATCCAAACATCTAAGCCCAACATAAAAGCCCAACTCAAAACCCAACACAATTAGGGTTTTCACATAAAATGACGATTAGGATTAATTAAGAACTTAACCCATTAATGACTTAATCCATTAAGTCCATCACTCTACTAGGTCAATCATATAATATGGTCGGAGTTAATTCATAATTCCAATCCAACGTTACAAAACACATGTCCCGACCAATCCAAAACTAACATCTCCAAAATTAGGGTTTTGTAAACCCTAATAAGGGTTTCCAACCCAATTGCATGCCAATTAGTCAAATGGTTAAGTTTTTAGATTAATTAGAGTTTCGGCGGCGACTTCTGCTGCAAATTATTTTCCTTCTTCATCCGGCAGTCGACGTCGTCCTATCATAGGTATGTATTTTTTTTCCTGCTTTTCTATCGATTCATCCTGGAAATTGGCAATTGAATTCGTTTTTAATCATAAATTGGTGCTGATTTCCTTTTTTTTTTTTTCCTGCATATATGTTGCTGAACCGTTGATGTTGTTATATGTTTTTTCTTGTTTTTTTTTTCTTTGTTGAAGATTATGTTGTTGAATTAGAAATTGTTGTTGATTTTTTTTTTTTTTTTTTTTTTTTTTTTTTTTTTTTTAATATGCATTCATGTTGTTGAATTGTCATTGTTGCCATATGTTGTTTGTTTTTCAACTATAATAGTGATAGTTTATTACTCAAAGGTCACAAATATATGTTGAAATATCATAAATTTTGCTTAAATGTTTGCTGAGTATGTTAAAATCTTTGCCGAATTGTTATTGTTGTTGCATGTTGTTTGTTTTTCAACTATAATAGTGATAGTTTATTGCTGAAATATCACAAATATATGTTGAAATATCATAAATTTTGCTTAAATGTTTGCTGAATATGCTAAAATCTTTGCTGAAATCATAAACTTATATGTTTTTTTTATTATTCATGATGCATTGTTATTGAGATGTCATTAATTCAAGTTATTATTATGTTGAAATATCATTAATTTTTTAATGTTTGTAGTAACTTGCAGATGTTAACAAAAACAAAATGCAACCTTTTGATCTACCTCTTCTGCTACAAAGAGTTGTAAAAATGATTTTTGATCTACTTCTTCTGCTACAAAGGATTGTAAAAGTGATATGTAGACTTTCTAAAATTTTGCTTTAGAAAAAGGGCGAATTTTATATATGCCCTTCTTAAACCTCAAAATATCATATTTACCCAGCTTAATTTTTTAATATCATATTTACCCTTTATAAACCTTTAAAATATCATATTTGCTCAAATCATTTTTTATAATGTTTTTAATATTTTATAATCATTTTTTATAACTTAAAATTACTATAATAATTAAAAAATTTAACGATATTATCCTTACGTCTATGATAAACTTCTAAATTGTTGGAATGTCGTCATCTTGACAAACAAAAATGTTCATCTTCAACCTTCTCTATGAAATGTATATTTTGATTGTGTAGATTTTTTTTGTTGATTATATTGTAGATGAAGGATATTTTAGATATTACCATTGATATTTTGATTTTAAAAAGTGCATATACGGTATTTTGATACTTAAGAAGGACATATATATGATATTATGATATTTAAAAATGACATATATGATATTTTGAAATTTTATGAAGGATAAATATGATATTTAGAAATTTTATGAAGGATAAATATGATATTTAGAAATTAAATTGGATAAATATGATATTTTGATGTTTAAAAATGACATATATTAAATTCTCCCTTAGAAAAACAAGCTCACCCGATGATAATAACTAAATGTAAAAAAGTGAAAATGTGAAAAAGTGAAAGTAGTTACCCTCTCACTCTCAGGTCATTATCCCTAATTTTTTATTAGCTAACGTTCAAGAATCTTAAACCAACAAGCATTCCGGCAGTAGCGGTTCAAGCATTAGAGCGCCAAATCAGACAGACGCAAAACAAAGGCACAACGCTGCGGACAGCGAACAGAAAGGTATTTTCTCTCCATCTTCTTCCTGAATAGCAATTTTCAGTCGATTATTCATATATTGTATGTTTCTTTTCATTCGCTAGTTGATTCTGCTTAACGACGCCCCACTCTTCTGTTCGAATCGTTGAATCATGAAAAATCGCTAAGTATAGAGTAGATCTTGGAGCGTTTGGGAGGTTTGATCTCGAATGAAAAGTTTCATCATATTAGACTCAACTTTTACATTTGTAATTTAATCGAAACCCTATATGAATCGTATATCCTATCAGTGTTTAGTATCGCAAAATATTTGGACAAGTGGCCTCTGATGTTCAGTTTGATTTCTAGAGTTACTGGTTTCTAACTTTCTGTTAATCTATTGTAAGGTTTATAATACATATTACGTGTTTTGATGACTTTCACATAAGCGATGTAGATAGGTACTTGCCTGTTGCAATCAAGTCCTGATGGCAATCCATCTCTTCTACTAGTAAAAATATGAAGATACTTTTTGGATATAATGTTGCTCATCAGAAAGTGCAAATTTGTTCTCATTATTATTCATTCCAAACCGTTTCCATCATCTTATATTGCATAAATTTCTTCTAGATTTACCAACTATCCATCTCTGTAGTTTTATGTTGAAGCTAATAACATAGCATCAATTTGCTTGCAGATGTCAGAATCACAGAAAAAAGCAACTCCATCTGCCAAATCTAAAGAGAAAGGTTCACTGCTAGGTAACTTTTCAAAGAAGTTCTTAACCTTTCATATAGGAGTTAGTTGACAATCATAAGAGATTTTTTTTCCATTTAACATAGCCAATGTATGAATTTTGTAACTTTATGGATACATTGATCTCTAAGTAAGCATCTGTAACTATTTTGCAACTAATATTGTTGGTCCGTAGCAGATATAGACATTGGAGATGACTTTCTTGGCTCATGGAAGTCAATGTCCATGGCAGGCGATGGAATGGATTTTGACTTTGGAACAACCACCAAAGGCAAGAAAATGGATTTCAAATTTGACAAAATGTAAGCACTGCAAAACCTCAAAGTCATATATATATATATATATATATATATATATATATATATATATATATATATATATATATATATATATATATCATCTTTGAAATTATTAATTTCATCTAATCTGGATAAACAGCTCAAACTTTGTATCTGGATTGAAGACTTACTGTTCATTACAGAGTTATGTATAACTTTTTTCATTAACATTCATGATATAACTTTGTTTCAGGGATATGGATTTCTCTCTTGATGCTGACTTTGATAAGTTGTCATCTTTCAAGACAGACATGTCTGATCTTGATATATCTTCTCCTATAAAAAAATCTGGAAAGTCAAAGGAAAAATCCAAAGAAGCATCTTCTGGTGGAGAGCGAGCAAAGAGAGATGACTTTGCATTCTCATTTGATTTTAATGAGTTAGTTTATAAAGTCATATTGGAGTTTATTTTTTCGTATCAGATACAATCAGTCACATGGTTTATGTATTTGCAGGTTTCCAGATTTAGACTTTGGGTCAACAAAGAAAAAGACAGATGAAAAGTGTGAAAAATCTGAAGATAAGGAAGGTTCTGTAGACGTTTTGGATAAAGATGCTGATGCATTAAAAGATGATGATATATCATCAAAGCATCCCATATCAAAGGCTGATACTGAAATGGAGAATATTAAGGATCCTGATCCCAGAAATGAAGATGACCACTTGAAATCTGTAACATATGAAAGCTCAAATGCTGAGGAACATGAGATACAGACAACACTTTCATCTGAGAAGATGATTTCATCTAGCCATGAGGAACCAACCCAAGAATCTCATTCATCAGAGGAGAGATCTTATTCAAAACCTCAAGCTCAAAAAGTTAAGCAAGATTTATTTGGTCAATCTTTAGATAATGTTTCAGAAGAAGAATCCGGAACTTCAGTAAGAATTATGAACACAAGCACAGGGAGTGAGCAGAGTGGTGATGTTAGGCCTGTGAATGAAGTGGTTACTAATAGAAGTTTACTACTGGAAAATCCATCAGCACATATGAATTCAGAAAGTCAAAAGAGGGAAATGTGCAAGGAAAGGGATCATAATGTCCTTATTGGCCATGTTGATGATGATAATAAAAGTAAAGATGATTCACATCTTGAAAGTTCCATGAAAACCGTGAAAGGCAATTTGACTCTTGGGGAAATGGTTGATAAGAGGAATGCAGATTCAGTTTCCAAACTTCATATGGGCTTGCTGGATGGGTGAGGCTATGTGTTATATTATAACTACACTCTTTATAGAGCATTATCTTTAAGAGTTTTGGGAATCTGCTTGAACATAAAATGTTTTTTTAATCTAATAGGCAACACCCTTTAGTCTTATGCTAGTGGTATGTGTAAGTGTGCTGCTGATCTTATGCAGTGGAACCACAACTAATGAGCTGGTTTTAGAGAAAGAAAGAGGGAATATTCCTACCCGATCAAAATATTTCAAGAAACAAAATGGAAGTGAATCTGAAAAGCAGCAGGCATCAGTCTCTTCAACAAAACTCATCTCTGTTGGCAATAAAAGAATGAGCACCTTACCAAATAATCCTCCACCTGGAAAAAGGTGAGTGTTTCATTTAATACAAGCAGCTTTATCAAATATTATGAAGAAGAAAATCCCATTCCCATGTGTAACAATTTTGCAGGGAGTTTGGTTCTAAGAGTGTAGAGTTTGGTAGCAAGTTTTCTGGTATATCAAGGCCACTACCCAATGTGGTAAGCAGAAACATTCCTCTTCAAACTAAGAACATAGAGACAGGTCATGCAAATGTCAGTGATAATACTCGGTGAGTCTTTGGTACTTAAAACAGAAGATTATTATAAAACAAAATTATTAATATCTTTTAATTATGGTTAATTGCAGGGAATGCTTGAATGCTGATAATATAAAACCGAGAAATGAACCAATGTCAACCACAATGGCACATAATATTGGTCCAACCAAGGAGGAACATGCATCAAGGGAAAGAGACCAAAATATCAATGCACTCAGGTTTGGTTTTGGTATTTTAATTGAAATCATTCTGCTTTAAGGCCCTGTTTGTTTAAAGAAGAATAACCCTTTTACAGAAATGTCATTTACTCTTTAATAATTGATGGAAATGCACACATCCAATAATATTTAGGGGGTTCTTTCTTTAGGTCTGATGTCCATCCATCCAATTCAGTGGAACAGTCAACAAAAGATCTCCCACAGAAAAGCCTAAATCCTGGGCTTCAAGCTACAAGCATGAAATCTACTTGTAACATTGGGAAAACTGTTGTAGAAAAGAAGCAGATATCACCTGCTAAAGCTGAGATTAGGGCATCTCAAGCTTCTACTCTAAGGGTTACTAGGTAGCATGTTTAATATTAATCTATTCTCTTCTGCATTAGGCCCCATTTGTTACACATGATATGACAAAAACTGATTTTTGTGTCCCACCGAATAAGGAGGAACAAGGTTTCACTCTCAATCTTTTGTTTGTGCAAAAGACGTAAATGCCCTCCTCATTTGTATTATCGAAAATAGCCATCTTACAATTTTTTTTTTTTGCTTACCATTCATCTTGTAATGCAGAGCTACAGAACCAAAGTTAAAGCCACTCAGTTCTATGTTAGCAAAGGGTCCTCCATTAATGGGAAACAAAGAGCAAGGTTTGGAATTGCAAGGAAAAATGGTGTTCAAGAGGAACCCTTCTGTTGACATAAACAACCAAACACCATCCACTCCAACTCTGAAGCGTAAAACATTTGAGGTTCTTTTACTACTTCTTTCATCATCACTCAATTCTCTCCAAAACAAGGATTATAAAACTTAATCAAGTTTTATAATGATTAATCATGCAGGCATCTGTTGGAACACCAACATTCACTCCATTAAAGCGTCTCTCTACATCACCCTACAGGTCCTATATTTATATATATTATTATACCTTTATGTAACAAATAAATTCTTTCACTTTAATCTTGTCTAAACCTATCCTTCATTAAAAATCAGCAACAATATAACACCATTATCAGAAAAAGCTGTTGAGAAACAGGTACATAAGCTACAAACATATTTGGGTCACTTCCAAAGTGGTGTTAATTATTAATGTAAAACTTTCTTGTTTTCTAATTATAGATTGGCAACCATGCCAGCATGGCAAATGAGAAGTCGCCTAGGGTTGACATTTCTACCCTTGAAATGGAGATATATTCTGCATCAGAAAATGATGCCCTTTTTCAACAGGCTGAGGCATGTTCCAAGGAACTTGATGTTGTAAGTATTGCTAGCAACCTACTTTACTCTTTCTATCAATGTAGGCAATTTACTATGTTTTTAACCCATCACACCAATGCACTTACATTCCTATACCCACAATAGCGTTGTACTTACTTCTTTTAGAGCTAATAATAATAATGTGATCATAAACTTTTATAAATGAACTTTTATTGTTTTCCTAATATAGCAACATCTTTACATTTCTTTACACATAATATGCCTACATACATACCATTTCTTACCCATAATAGCTATGTGAATGTAACATAGAACATGTAAGCATTTCACTTGGTTCATGTTATACATTTCTATTTTGGTTATAAAAGAATATAAGCATATTGGTATTATGGGTAAAACAAGTATCAACCAGACTTGTTTTCTGTATGCAGATATGTAACATGCTGAAAAAGAAGCATGAGGAGGCAAAGGATATACTTGTTCGAGCTATTGTCAATAACAATAATCTCCTCATGCTTAATCATCCTATCTATCAACAAAAAATATCCTTCTTCTTTTTTTAGTTTTAATCCTTGTTTCCTTTTCAAAAAGAGTTACACTTTTATATTATTGTTCAAATCCTTAAAATATATTCGATACATCAGCATTGTTCAGAAATTTGCTGCATCGCTGAGCCTTAACTAAAACTGCAACATGTTTTGAATCAGGTATTTGGCCCTGTTATTTTTTTTTTTCATTTAAATGCTGTCTTGCACACATGGGCTTTTTGGTCTTTTCCTTCTTTATGATCATTTTCTTCCTTCATGTGCAAGGAAAAGATCAAAAAGACCTAGTCTGGAAGGCACATGAATGGGGTAAACGAACTTGGTGAGAGGGACCAAAAAATGTTATGAAAAAGTTAAATAGGGACCAAAAAGGAAAAACAATTTCTTCTTGGACTAATACCAAAAAATCAGCTAAGAACAAGTATAATAAATGTAGCTTACTCAAAAATAAAGTAGTACCTTTCTATAAATGATGTTTCTGTAAGTTGCTATGATGATAGAACAGGAGTTTTGTTTGCTTCTGTTCTGGTAGAAGAATTGTCAGGCTGTGAAGATTTCAGGTACATGTCTTTTGTTGCCCCTTTTCTTTTGTATTTTAATCAAATTTAGCTATTCAAGTGTCATAATAATGTAGACTTTTGTTAGAAAATGGCTATACTGATTGAATTACAGTGGATGGTAATGAAGTAAGGTCTGAATAAGCGACACCCTATCATTCTTTTTATATTTTTATGTTCCATGAACTTTGCTTTGAGTAAATTACACCGGATTGAACTAGATTAGACAACCTTTCTAGGCTAATTTGGATGATGAAAATAAAAGGGGCATTTACGTCTTTTATATAGATGAAAGATTGAATTTACAAATCCTAAGTTTATTTTATATATATTTGAAATGATAATAAGTTTCAATCAAAAATTAAATAAAATAAATTATATTAAAATTTAGTACAGCCAATGCTAGATTGCCACGTGTCAAGTTGAAAGACATCAACATAAACAAGTTGGTCCCTTTCTTTCATTTTTAGTTCGTTTTGGCTTGTTGATCAAAGTTGGCCCACCGACCATTTTATATAGTCCTTCCTTCCAA